AATTATATTTCTTCTTGTTACGGGTAAAGTATTCTCCATGTATTAGTGAAAAAAAGAAATTATATTACACGTGGGGTATAATTTTTTGTAGGTAAATAATTGGAAATTAATTTGCTCCAATTATATAAAAAAATATATATACTACACCTAGATTATATATATATATATATATATATTTGTTTTTTTTTTGAGAAAACCTAGATTATATATTTTGAATCAAATAACATTTTTGTATACATGGTAGGTAAATTATTTTTCATGTATTATTACATATATTAGGGATGTTTTTTTGGTAAAAATATATAAAGTAATATGTATATGATTGTTTGTAGGTAAAAGATAAAATCAAAAGCATGATCCAATTCCTAAGTTTAAGCAATATTTTGTTGTTGGTATACAATATTTTGCATAATTGGAAATGAAAATTTCAAATAGTAGGTAGGTAAATTAATATGGTCTAATTATATAAATCCGTACACACACACACACACACACATATATATATATATACACATTTTGAATCAAATAACATTTTTGTACAAGGTAGGTAAATTACCTTTTTTTTTATGTATTATTACATATATTAGGGTTTTTTTTTTTTTTTTGTAAAAATATATATATGAACTCATAATGCCAGGTACATAGAATTAAGCCAACAATTCTCATATTTGATATTAATATGCAATGAATTTTTTAACATTAATGTCTTATTTTTCTTTTTGTAAAATCATTAACTCTCTCCTTACAATCTGCATAAAATTAATTGTGCACATCAAATATGCAATAGGGGTATTTTAGGCATCTAAAAATGTAAAATGTGTAAAGTAATATGTAATTAATGAATTCACTTAGGTGGATCCTAATCACTGGGTTTTTTTTTAGTAAAAAAATTATGTCGGGTTTTATATGAAAAAAATTGAATTTGAGAGGTTAAACTCATATTTTCAGTAAAAATAATTAGAAACTCGTAAAACATAGTAGCCAAATTAAAATTTGAAATGAATTACTGGAGGTAGATTGGAGGAACAAATTGTGTTGTGGGTCATGTCTATCTTTAGAGAAGGAAATTTTGCGGTTTGTGGGGATTTTCGGTGGCCTACAGTGGAGTGACATGAAAGTGACGAAGTTACGAACCTAGTGGGACCTCAGAGAGCCACAACCCTAGTTGCTGCTGCTTCTTCTTCTGGAGGTTAGACACGAGAGTGGAGACTGCTGGTGGTGGTGGTAGTACTAGCACTGGTTGAAAGTCTTCTTCCGTGTGGGTCCAGCCGTACCGTCAGGAATCGTTGCCGGCACCACAATGGAGTATATGGATATCATATAAGACATGCCCCTCTCCTTCCCATCCCCCCTTAATCCAATCAATATTATTCCTTTCCTTTCCCATCACTATACTAGTTCTACAACCACACGTATTGTGTTATTTATTTAACTGTATATCTTAATTTACATGCGTGAAGAAATTAAGAAGATAAAGGTTTACAAAGCTTAAGTTCAAAACTCACATATTACTTCTAGCTAATTTTGTCCTTTTATCTATTTCTTTTCTTTAATTTGGCAAATTTGATTCATTTATAGTGCGATAAGTGAACACACGAGCCATGTTACTCAATATGTATGGGTTTTTTTTTATTTTTTTTATAACCCTAAGATGAGTCTATTGAGTCTATCTCCACTATGACTATAAATATAAACACATTGATTTACTGCCGCATATGCAATGTTATGTTTAGGTTTCCTTATCGTATGAGTCTATCTCCTCTCTATGACTGTAAATATATGATCGAGCAGCACAAGATTAACGTTTAGAAATTTACATGCATGGGAAACGAATGGTTGGAAATATTGAAATAGCGAGAAAGTGGGACGTCGATCGAGATAGACAGACAACACACAGAAACATGTGATTTGCCTGCAGCTCGATGCATGTGAGTGATGGTGACAATGAGAGGGACACGGGGTGCCGGGTCATTGGTAGGTCCTATCCCTTTGTGGCTTTTTTTGCCAACAGGATCCTCTCTCGGTATTTTGGGAAAGATTTTGAAGATCCGTGAATCGTATTCGTTTATCGTAAATTATGTAGTCAGTATTTATCAAATACTGTTTATGTTTAATTTTAAATAAAAATATTTTAAATAATTTCTAACTACACGATATACAATATATAAACATAATTCACCGATTTTTAAAATTCTCATAAACAGAGTCCGGTGAAGATCCAGACTCTTTCTTTTGGATGGAGCATAAAGTAGAGACATGCTGTTACTGCTACTGCTACTGCTACTGTGGTACAGGGGTTGTGGGAGGGAGGGGCCTCTGCCCTGCCCTATGCATGAATATCTAATTTAATTATAATATATTATTGAAGGAAATCATGCATTCCCTCAATTTTTTTTTTTTTTTGGTGAACGCATTCCCTCAATTAAGCTGCTAGCCAGCATTTATGTTGTAAAGGGCAAGATAACAAAAATCCAACGTGTAGTTTGTAGGGTTGGAAGGAGTACTGCACTTGCGTGTTGTTGTTGTTCTGGTGGGAAATTGGGAACGGGATGGTAAGCTTCCCTGGAGCTACAAAAAGCGAATTCACCGGCTACAAATTAACTACCCACTTGAAAGGAAGGAACCAAAAGAAAGATTCACCTGCAACTACGAGAGAGAGAGAGAGAGAGATATGGATGATGAGGGTAATATATACATGAATTGGATCCTTTCTAAGGCAAACCATTGGGATCCTCCTGATCTACTAACAAGGACCGTTGGATTTTGATCCAACAGCTACAAATAAGGGGCGTCTCTAAAATTTTAATAATTGTAACCATTTAATCAAAATCTAACAGCCCGTGTTATTAGGTCAGGATGATCTCTAGGGTTTGCTTGGAGGGAATCTAATTCCATATATACATAGTACTAGGCGGCAACAGCAGCCTAGCTAGGAGTGGTAGTGTTGATGCAAGAAAGAAACAGTATCTTGTAAAAAGGGAATTTTCATCAAAAAGACATACCAACAACTTTTGCTGTCTAGCTTCCTCTTGGTTTCCTTTCATTGTCCACACTTACATCATTCATAGACACTACATAATTATGTGTTTGAAAGTTTGAGTTTAAACATCTACTCAATTACACATAACTTGTTAAGATTCAGAGTCGGATCAGCAGTCTACTTCTACCCATACTGATATTGTTCAAACTTAACGAGTTGCATAATCGGCACGTGTTGAATTTTATCACAAAAGCTCCAATACAATTATGAGCAAAACCATTTATAGGTGTAGTTTATCCAGGGAAGTTTCCGACCCGACATGGGACCCTATTTCCAACATAACGCGGAATATTGTTTTTAACTTTTTAATTTATTTATGTGCTTTCATGGAAACTCTGAATGTCCTCTTATGATGGATAACCCTGCTATCATTCATGCAGCTCAGTGAACCTCAGAAATTAACCTTGTTCAACTCATTCATTTAACCCAACCCTTCTCAATCTACTTAAGTCCTAGATAACTATAAATGAGAATATAATTAATTAATTTGAGTTTGGACAACAATTAAGGGATTGTCTTAAGTAAATCGATTATTTGTTTGATCCAGAAGCCAACATACTTTCATTCCCAAGTTAAAATACCGAAAGCAAAAGGATAATTTAGAACAAAGGTCCGAATGACCAGATTCAATAAATGGATGAACACACTCAACGAAATTCCAAGTGAAAACTTGCTAATCATCGTCGTTTTATCGACGATAACTTTAACTGCCAGAATAATATTTGAGCCTATTTACACCCGTATAGCATACCGGCCTACAACTACGTATGGTTTTTCTTCAAATCCCTATCCAATACAACAGTGGACATCTTACAACGTTACAATGTGAATAGAAAAACACAAAAACTAAATTACAAAAGGTTTCTGTTGCAGTTTCTCTATCGACATATCGACTGTAAGGTCATCTCCAACTGAAGGAGGGCCAAAGGACTTCCTTTAGCCCTATAGTCCTGCGATAAATTATACTAGCATATAGGCACACACAAAATGTGTGTGAGAAAAATTTTTATTTTTGTTTTTGAAATAAAAGGAGAGAGGAAGAGAGTAATAGAGAATGTGGGAGTGGGAGGTTTTTTTTAATTTATTTTATTTTTTTTTAATTAGAGATATGTTAGGATTACATGTAGGTGAGACTTTTGGTTGTGTGAAATTACATTTATGCCCCACATGTCTTATTCATGTTCTGTTTTAATTAGAAAGTTAAACTGGTAATTTCATAGAGTTTTGGTTGACAATGAGTGTTTTATTAATTAGTAAAGATTTTAATAAACCGTATTAGACCATATTTTATACTATCTCCAACTGAGGGGGTCAAAGGACCATAGGCCAAACACAACCCTTTGACAAAAAATCATCTTCAACCGAGGGGGCCAAAGGGCTATAGAACAAACATAATTTATTATTTTAATTAAATTAATATGGTTAATTAAATTAAACTACCATATTAAAATAAGATTTTCAAACATATTTTGAGTGTCACTTGTCACAAAATGAATAAGCCTCCGGATTTCATATGTTTAGATAATCTCAATAATTTTTCGGATAGGATTTCGAGTGACATATGTCGTTAACGTGAGTAACTCTCCAGATTTCTTATCTTTATGTAATTTCATAATTTTTTAGATATGATTTTCAAGTGACATGTGTTGCTAAAGTGAGTAACTCTTCAGATTTCTTATGACGTTAGCTAGCCGTTGGCATTCAAATGGGTTGAGCTGGAGGGCTGGCAAAATGTCAAGCTTGATATTCTGAAATTGTAAGGCTGGCAAAATGGTAGGCTGGAAATGGCCAACCCGCTAACCTGATTTGGCAGTTTGGGCCCAATGAGGCCCACAAACCTTTTGACCCAACTCTCGGTTGAAAACGGTTTTCTTGTCATTCTTAGCTATTTTCAACCCTATGACCCTTTAACCGGACCGAATGACCAGATTCAATAAACGGATGAGCACACTCAACGAAATTCCAAGTTAAAACTTGGTAACCATCGTCGTTTTATTGACGATAACTTTAACTGCCAGAATAATATTTGAGCCTTACACCCGTATAGCATACCGGCCTACAACTACGTATGGTTTTTCTTCAAATCCCTATCCAATACAACAATGGACCTCTTACAATGTTACAATGTGAATAGAAAAATACAAAAACTAAATTACAAAAGGTTTCTGTTGCAGTTTCTCAATCCGCAGATCGACTGTTAAGTTTTCTAAAATCTTAACCGAGCAAAAGTTTGGATAATATCTCTCCCATGGTGGATGTGTCACCTTCATTATCCATCTCCACGCCAGATTCCAGGACTGCAGCATCTAGCACTAACTTCCTTTTCGCAATCTCGTAGACATTTTCATCAACTGTACCCTTAGTCACAAGCCTGTAAAGGACGTGACAGGTTATAATCCTACAATTTCTTATTCAAGTTTACGACCCATAAACAAATACCGCATTATAAAAGCAGGGAAGGTGCTTCTCTCAGGTTGATAGGTAGAAGCGAGGGAGACATTGGGAAATTGAAGGGGCAAACCTGTATATGGTAACAGGCTTCACTTGGCCAATGCGATGACAACGATCTTCAGCCTGTCGGTCAATTTGCGGGTTGAAATCCATATCATGTATGACTACGGTATCAGCTCCAACTAAGTTCAAGCCCTGGCCTCCAGCTCTTGTGGACAGCAAGCATGCAAATATAGAAGTATCATTATTGAATGTATCAACTATCGTCTGTCTTTCCGTCACCTGAGTGCTGAAATTTGGAGATACAGGTTAACAGACAAAAATACAACGTATAATAGACGAGGTAACAATTCAAATATACCGCAATCAATCAGTGGAACCGAGCAAGCCAAATAATAAAACAGATATACCATATGGCAGAGCACATTTTGTTAAGATAAAAAAAATCTACAAATGTGACAAAGTACACCAGTACCTTCCATCAAGTCGTCTGTATGTAACACCTATCACATCCAAAGTCCACTCCAAAATATCAAGCATTGACGTCCACTGGCTGAAAATCAACACACGATGCCCAGCTTGCTTCAGTGAAGGAAGAAGTTCAGCCAATGCCTAGTATCAACAAGAAAACTCTTCTCAATTTCGAGGAGAGTATTATATAACAACTCTCTCCAAATTTTGATTCTGACCAATTGGTTAGTGAACTTACTAAAGTACCATTATACCTGAGATTTTGCAGAACGCAATGCATATTTGTCCGGAAGCAATCCTTTCTTATCAGTGACACCATAACACAGCAAAAGCTGCAGAGAGAGAGAGAGAGAGAGAGAGAGAGAGTACATAATGTCAACATACAATATGTAATCTGCTACACACGCACAAGGAATGTACAAAACTAGATTATCTAAGTACTCCAAAACATCAATAGTTAGTTTAACGCACAAAATTTAGAAAAAAATACAAAATCATTTTCAAGAAGTTAAGAATATACCCGATGGATAGAGAAGTCACTATAACTCTTAAGTTCCCCAATTACTTTGTCTAAGGTACATTCATAGCCAAATGCACCCATTGGATGTAACTTTCTGGCAAAACGAACCACATCCTCATCACTGTAAATACGCCTTACTAGTAAAGGATGATTTGCAATCTAGAGAATTGAGGAAAGAAAAAAAAAAAAAAAAAAAAAAAAAACCATAAGCACAACATATATGCAATCACAACAAAAGAACTGGGATATCAAAAACATGAAAGTCGAGAAAGATGCACCTTACGAAACTGAACGAAATAGTTAGAGATCTGCCGCCGAGGAAGAACCTTAAGTATACTGTTCGAGTTAACCTCTGTGGTTTTTGCAATACGAGTTCGTGAAGCTACCCGATACTCCTCGATGGCTTCTTTATAGGCGTCATCTTGCTTCTTTTCCATGACAACATACTCAACCTGCACTACATTTCTCAGCTTCTTTCTAAAAAAACAAAAGAAATAACCAAAAGAGAATGAAAACATGACAATATGAAAAATCAAGAACCAAAGCCCCGAAAATGACTAGGCATAAAGTCATAAAACATACCCGCTGTATTTTTGGAACAAGTTGTTGCATAACATCAGATTTTAAGCGTCTCAAAATAAAGGGTCCTAATATGGATTTCATGCGGCCAATCAAATCTCTATCTTCACCACTTAACAGCTTTTTCAAGTCCACATCATCTGTAGTGAAAAGATCTGGCATCATAAACTCCAGCATAGACCAAAGCTCCTGCAACAGAAACCCATAAGTTAATGAGTCATTTAACAACTAAAAAAATCTAAAAATTAAAACAGACGCACAGGTCCCATTGCAAATCAATATTAATTCAAGGAACTTAATCAAGAAACATGAAATTATTAAATGATTTCAATTCTTAATTGTTTCTCTGAGACTCAAAGATAGTACTTTCATGTAACACAGAGTTCCCACAACATCCTCGAACAAAACCCCAAAATTCAGTTCCACACAGTAGATCATGACCATCAAAACCACAGTTACACTTTATCATATTCCAGTCTTCCCTAAGTAATATCCCATAAGATTTCAAGGGGTAAAAAAGTCATACATGTAAATCATTTTGTAGAGGTGTCCCTGTCAGCATTAAACGCTGGTTTGCACTTCGTGCAACAGACATTAGGTTTTTCCACCTGTAGCTATTTTTGTCCTTCAAAGCATGAGCCTCGTCCATAAGCACACAACTCCATTGCCACCGTTTCAGAATTTTACGATCATCTTTCTGCTGTGCACTGGAAGACCAGAAGTTAAGGAATTAAGATAGCATAAAATCATAATCACTATCCATTGTCCATATGCAACACCAAAGCAAACCTGTGTCTTTCAAATAGTGAGTAGCACACGAGAATAACATTAAAAGGAGGTGGTAATCCAGCTTTGGACAAAGAGTTCAACTCTTTTGAATAAGCCGATCTTGCAGCACCATGATACTGGAGAACAGTGAATGACGGGCACCACTTTTTAAGTTCTCTTTCCCAATTTTCCAAAACAGAAGCAGGGCATACAATCAAATGTGGACCCGGGTCATCATTTAAATGTTTCAATAACATCAAGTAAGTTATAGCCTGTTCAACAAGGACAAATATTACAAACCAAAGTTACAAATATTATTGAATAGGCAAAGGGAAGGACACGTAGGTACCTGAATGGTCTTCCCGAGACCCATCTCGTCCGCCAAAATGGCTGCACAAAATATAAAGGATATTAAACTGTAATGATTGAGAATTGATATTAAACCAAGCCACAGATGCATATACGCTTATACACAGCTTCATAACTACAATTGGAAAATTTTGAGCATAATAACGACAACAAAATGCATATCCTTCACTGCTTAAATTTCTTCTCTATTGACATGGCCTTGAAGTCAGTTGTGAAACAAACAAATTTTGTGACCCTATCAAAAACATCTTCTTTTAACTTTCCAGACATTCACACTTGAAATACTAGAAAGTACCGCATTATCATCGCTCCATTGACCAACCAGGCCACTAATAAGATTACATGCCACTGCTCCAAATTTTGACTCTACTGAAGTAATGGCATTAAAAAAATTCCCAAATTCAAGGTCTCTCTGAACAACATCATGCTAAAGTTATCTATACCACATTTTCATCACAAGGACTTTGAAATCATAATGATAGATGCAAACCACCAAATATCAAGAAACCATAAACAAGAAAAATTTCATAACAATGAGTCAAAAGAAACTGAGGATTAATTGTTCACAAGAAGATTGAAACAATTTTCATCTACTTAACCTAAATCACTAAGTGGGATAAAGCTTTGTTGTTGTTGTTACATGAAGCCACTTAAATATAAAACTTCTTATAGAAACTTCAATCTCACAGCCGTTTCCCAGTTACCCTTAATGAACGCCCTATTTCAATTTAAAAACAATTTTTATCTACTTAAACGAAGTCACTTAAATATAAAACTTCTTATAGGAACTTCAATCTCAAAGCCGTTTCCCAGTTACTGAATGCCCTATTTCAATTTACATCAAGTGGGCTTAAGCTTACTATGGTTTAAGTTATTCTCTGCTCTCACAGCGTGAAAATCTTAACCTGAAAGTCAAGTTGTTTTGTACCATTCTAGCATGTATATATTCTTTGAGCATCATACAAGTAGATGAGAATCAGTTCAAAAAGCAATTCTTCTTCTTCATTGCTCTATTATTATCTAAGAATATCAATCTTAACATTTCAGAATCATGCAATTTAGCATACAAGTAGATGAGAATTAATTCAAAAATCGATTCTTCCTCTTCTTCATTGTCATTGTCATCTAAGAGCATTTAATATTGACATTTCAGAATCATACAATGACTAATGAAATTCCATTCGGCAACAAAATATGGGAATTGTTAATGGCACTCCAAAAATCTCATTTGGCACTCCAAACTTTCTATATTTAGAAAGAAAAATACACTTGTGAGGAGTGCCAAATGAGATTTTTGGAGTACTAATATCAATTCCCTAAAATATTAGTCACACATTTTAAGATCTTGTACTAATCAGAATTTAGAGAATCAAAATTCATTACGGTCATACATTTTCACAGAGGGAACCAAATTCATTTATGTACTGTCTAATGTAGAAGTAAAATCAAAATTATGCTGACTGATAACAAAAAAAAAAAAAGTACCTCCGCCAATACCCTTCTGATACAGCAGAAGAAGAAAGTTAACACCAACCAACTGGTATGGCTTGAGAATCGGTTGAAAATTGGAATCCTCAGACCTACATGCCTCAATAATGTCATCCTACAACAATAAATCAGTAACCATCACTTGCCAATCCAATTGAAAGTTGATAACGACACCAGCAACAAGAAGCCAACTTTTTGCTTATGAGGACCTCGCAACACACAACAAAAAACAAAACAAAACCTTCACACAAGAACCAAACTTTTATACAGCCACATTCTATTCACCTGTAAATTTTCCTCATTTTTAAAATAAATTGGAAACAAAGGCATACCAAATTTTTTTAAACCCAATTAAGAACGAGTAAAAGGGCTCTCCAACTCCATGAGATTCATACCACAAGAAGCTCAGTAAAAGTAAGAAAAGGCACCTGATTGACAATCCTCACAGAGGCAGCTTCCACTTCGGCGTACCTATCAGACACCGCCGGAGCCGACGACCCGTGGAGCTCCTTTCTCAAATCCGCCGATATTTTGGCACACTTCTGCAAAGCTTTCCCAACCACGTCGTCGTCCTCCAACTCCTCTACCGCATCCTCCTCTTCCTCACTCGTTGACTCAATATTAGCCCAATCCCCATCGCTATCCTCGTCCTCGACTACGAACCGACGGCCACGATTGACCGTCCTAGCCTCCGGGACCTCGTCGGCGTCGTCGTCCTCCAATTCGTCCTTAATCACGACACAATCGGAATCGTCGTCCTCCGGTTCGGGTTTAATCTCGACGCAATCGGAGTCTTCATCTTCGTCGTAGAGTTGTTGGGGCTTGGGGGATGATCGGAAGGCGAAGGACTCGATTGGGCGCGGCGTCGGGGTGCGAGGCTTCTTGAGGACGCGGGAGGGCTTGAAGGCGGAGGAGTGCTCCTCCCAGTCCTCGTCGGAGATTTCGAAATCGTCGAACCCGCGCTTCATGTAAGCGGTGTAAAAAAAATGACGGAAAGGGGGGCAATGGAAAACCCTAATTGCAAATTAGGAGGGAGTGAGTTGTAGCGTTACTAATTAAGTAGCAGTACAAGAGAAGGTCGGCGGTGAGTCACTGAAGAGGAAAGGAAGGACGATCTTTGGGATTGGGAGCTTCCTCTACTTTGGGAGTGCAAACGGGAAGAAAGGAAGCCAAAGACCGCCACAATTTTCGGGATGCTTGGTTAATTAAGAGTAATTTAATTTAAGGGTTCGTCAAGTGATAAACGAGTTAAAGTTTAGGAACTGGATCGTCTCCGGATCTAATAAACTCAGACGATTCGATAATTAAAATTCGATATAACAGCTACAAATATGATCTTCTAAAATTATAATAATTGTATTTGTTTAATCAAATTTCAACGGTTTGAATCCCCTGCTCAACAGGCACAACATATATGGATCTGGAGGGGATTTGGTTCCAAAGTTTAGGTTTTTAAATGGACTCTGTTTCAGTATAGGTTTGACTGAATTAAGCAAGTGAACAATATAAATTAGGTGATGTGTTGTTATGGGGCTACACATAAAACTAATTTGACTGATTTTTTTAATTAAGCACGTTACTACGAAAAAAGTTAAGATTTTATTATAAAACTAATTAGTAATACGGAAATAGCTCAATATTTTATAAGATTTTTCATTATTTGGCTCTACACTAGTGAGAACCAAACCATATAAGAGTTTATGAAAAGTTAAACTACTTCACAAATTATTAATAGATTTTATGATAAAACTTTAACTTTTTTATAACTAAACATCATCTCATGTTTTAGTTGGAACAAAAAATGATCATGTAGCTCGAGAGTGCTTCGATTGTGTAAAATTCAAATAAGTTATAACAAAGTGTAATTCATTGGGCTAACTTCAAAGCCAGATACTAATTGATGGGCCTACCATAGTTCAGAAATTTGGACATGACTTAGGGCATTCATCTATGAATCAAAGTCAGTTTGGGCTTGTCCTTGAGAAAAAAGAACATTGATCTATAGTGTTTTAAGTATATCATCATGCGGTCAAATTTTACAATAGCGCCTTAGTATAAGTTTTAGTCGCAACATTCTTTTTCCGGAGTACAAATGCTCTTCGGATAAAAAAAATTGAGCTTAAGGATGAAATGATCTAGATCGTTGAAATTTAATTCAACGGTTACAATTATTATAACTTTTAGAACGGTTCTTGTTTATAGCCGTTTGATCAAATTTCAACGGTTTGTATCATTTGATCATTAGCTCAATTTTTTTACATCCGGAAAGGATCTATACTCCTTTTTCTGCGTCCATGATTTAGTTAACTACGAGTTAGTATTACACTCTTTTGATACATGCAGTTTTGGGATGGGAATACAAGCACATGACATGAGAAAGGGAATTTAAGAAAATTACCTCATGTACAACAAACGCTTTTAACTAATTAAACTACATATTCTTCATGATATTACAATCCGTTGAACCTCATCGAAGTATTCCACTTGGGTCTTCAAAAATGACTCGTCAAAGTCGATAATGATTGGAATACTACTAAAAACAGTGTTTTCTGCGATTTTGTTAATAAAGTATGATGAGGTTTTGAGTGGTTTGAGGAGAAACTGGGAAGGAAGCACATCATGCATATTAGTTTCTTTCTTTCTAAAGTAGACCATAAATATAGTCTACCATCGTTTTGATTGAGAGGAGCACCAAAATAGCATGTTTAAGTGCACCACTACCACTACGAGTTCTGCACTGTATGCTCATCTTTCCCTAAACCAATTTTGCTTCGTTGGATTCACTTTTTCCCCTTGTCAACTTTGCTTCTGGAATTAAAATTTGTCGGGATTCAAATTTATGAAATTATGGTTTTGGAAAGCACTATTTACATAGCTTGTACATAATTTCATGAGATGCGCTGAGGACAAAAGCAAAGTGAGCGACCACCTTGCAAGCATTTCAATTTGTAAGTACTAATACTCCTCGAGAAAATTTTCAATATGTCAGGAACACGATATAGTACATCACGTGTAATAAATTTTTTTTTTTTTTTTTTTTTTTTGAGAAGGTAATAAAACAATTTTCAACCAATTGTATTATGACACTTAGTATACTGAGCTACGTTCTCTTTTTCACTCAGTTGATCATTTCAAGAAAAGGAGAATATATAATATAAGGTTTGCTCATGCATCATGAATCTTTATGAATCTCTTCTCCATTAAAACATGCAATATAGAAATGTATTTCACGTACATTCATTCTCCAAAGATAATATATATACACACATAAATAATTAGGTTTAGCCTAATAATGGTGGTGAGGATGAGTAGGATAATGGGTGGGAGTAGAACAACTAGAAACTTGGGATTCGAAACGCTCATTTGTAATGTGTATGTATCAATTACGGTCGACTTAGAGTAACTCAGTGTTGAACAGTTGAAGCAGCTATGGTTATAAACTTTCATTGGTCCTTTTGCATGTGATATTAGAATTTTACAAAAACTGATGATCATGAAGAGAGTGAAAAGAAGAAGAATGTGTGATCGGAAAGAATGAACCGTTGACTTCCAGCAGCTGCATGGCACTTTAATTAGGCCAAAGCCATAATACAAAAGAAATATACATATAATTCCCATTCTTTTTAGAAGATATAAACATGCACTGACCACATTTTTTCTAGATTAAAATTATTACATTGACCATAAGAAAATATGAAACATATATATTTAATTAAAAGTATCATATATGCACTTTGTTAATTATCTATACAAACATCCTCTATATGTTGGTGTCCAATGGTCTGATCCTGTATTTTCACGATAAACTTGAGGGGTACATGAAACAGGCACCAAACATAGGCCTTTGCTCTTGAGATCAACCTTTGTGTCCCCCTTGTAATCTTTTCTATCCATCGTCCATGGATCCTAAATAAAATAGCATTAAATAATTAGCAAAAGAAGGTGTGTGTGTGTGTGTGTGTGTGTGTGTGTGTCTATATATATATATGTGTGTGTGTGTGTGTGTGTGTGTGTGTGTGTGTGTGTGTGTATAAGCATGTGTATATACCTTTGGTGAATTTGTCTTCAAATAAGGGCTATTCAATAGCTGCAAAAAAATTATGGAAATGTAGATTAATTCTATGCTGGTATTATTAACTTCTTATTAGTTAGAAAATAAAATTGTTTATAATGGACAGAGTTAAAAAGAGATATGATAGTATATATACCATGTGCACTTGGTCTTGCATGAACTTAATGTACTGAATCGCTTCATATAGTACTGATGCTGTATCGGTCTGAAATGTAACCAAATTATGATAATTTAAAATATGCCAAATAAGATGATCAGTTAAAGGAATGAAACATCTAAATTAATCCAGTTGAAATGAATTAATTAGCAGGTTTTCTTGTGTGGCTGCTTTCCGCTCACCTTTCCAAACGGAGACACGATTGGTTGAAGGGCCGTGATTCTGTCCGTAAGCTTGACTTTTGGTGCCTGAATCTGCTGATCAGAGACATTAATTAATAATTTCATAAGAAAAGGTTATTTTATCAATTAACGATCAAGCATGATTTCTTGTCTTTTGCCTTTTTTATTTTGTACGTTAGAGTACCTTTGTAGATGATCCTGTAGAAGTTTCTTGCTTAGGCTTTTTCACGACTGTTTCTGATGATGTTTCGTCCGTTCTTTTCTTCTTTCCTTCATTTGCAATTCCCTGTCCTCTTCCACTACTCATTCTTGCCTGCGTGTATTATAAATACACATGTAATTAGAACCTGTCCTCTTTCACTACTCATTCAATTATAAATACATATATAATATACGATGAGCTTCAGTTAAGATATCGCTCAACAAAAAAATTAAATTAGCTAAATATTGAGCTTACCGACGAAGAAGTTTGCAGGGTTTGCTTCTTAGAATGATCAGAAGAGTTGAAAGATTTGAAACAAGACTTAGAAGCATGAAGGTCAATCAAGGGTTTATTTCCTAATTGACTCGTAAAAGATCCAACATCTGCTAAATTTCTGGCAGTAGTAGTACTAGTAGATGAAGAATAATAAGAATCCGACAGTAGTGATCCATTTCCATCGAAGTACTTGCTAGTATGATTATATGCAGCCATTGCGTTGTTGAGGCCAATCTGATGTTCAATGCCATTATGGTGTCCATGATTCTGATCATCTACCTTCATAATTTGACCGCTGTAACACGAAAATAAACTGGATCCGGAGTTTCTATTTGTAATTCCCATCTGAGGATTGCATGACGATGTGGAATCATTAAAAAACGGTTGTGGCTCTAAATGACAGAGATTTGGTTGTGAGTACTGACGATCATGATGAAAGATAGTAGAGCAAAGTTTATTATCTTGATCCATTATTTGATGAGGAGGCATATTGTTGAGTACTAGTTGTGGTTCTGGGGTTGCAATGGACCAGGTGCTGACTTGATTAGACATCTTGATTAACCTTTCTTTCTCAATACTAATATTCATGTTGTTGTCCATGAATCCTCCATTTATTTGCTTTTCAAAATTGTTGAAATTGGAGGCAGCTGAGTTTATGAACTCCCAAGTACTATTGTTGTCCAACTTCTTCAAGTCCTCACAAGCAGGGTCATTGTACATAACATGATGAGTTGACAAGCTCTTGGATGATAGTGCATCTAGGAAGTTCTCTCCAACACCATGATCATCGTCGCTTAAATCATGGTTTGCATTAGCGTTTCTGCATTCATGGTTCATTCAAAACTTAAATTAATTACCATATATATGCCTAAATGTATAAAGATGCACATATATATATAGACACGGCTCAAGTTTTACTGGGATTAGCCCAGTTGTGAGGGTAGGTAAGGTGATAGGGAGGATAGGCTAGGCTCAAGGGTCGAAACCCTGCTATATATGTAAGAAAAAAAAATGGATGGTTCAAGTTTTATCTGAGATTATATAACTCTTCTAATTACTAGCTAATTAGTAATAAAATATGTTAGGGAAAAATTAGAGTTACTTACAATAGAACATGGTTCCAAATATGATTCTCAGAAACCTGTTCGCCTTTAATTAGGTCGTCGTTGGAGGAAGCAGAACGCTGATCAGCAAGCATTATGCG